CCTATGTAGGAGTCTGTACGCTCTCCAAACATCCTTATATATTGTAGTACCTGGATACAGCCAGTATTACTGGCGCCTTTATTATCCAGTTCGTAATAATTGTCGTAATTTGCATTAGTTAGGAATTATATATGAGGTTTTCATCACAAACTGACATAATTTATAATGCCAGAAATTTATTTAGCCAAATGGTTAAAAGGCTTTCGCGTTAAAATCCGAGATTTATTATCTTATACGAGATTGATTCGTCCACAAATTGTAGTCTCGCCGTCTTATTTGTTATAGCCCCTCAATTATCAAGTTTTGTACAAAAGTCCCTGTGAACCGAACGTACGTTAGCATTAAGCACTGAAGTTAGCGCCGTAACCTTGAAATCCCTAAAACGCCTCTGATTGTCTTGTCCATAAATTAGAGTCTGGCCGAATTTTTGGGTTAATAAATCATCACTCATACCAGTCTTTGTGTTCTTACTTTCGCATTGTGGGAACTGCAGAAGTCCCTCATTTCAAGTATGAATGATAAACGTTTCCGACATAACAATCAACGACGACCAAATACAAAAAGTAGCATTAAAAGAGCCAATACAATCAACACCCAAACAACAAATTCTAACAAAAATCTATACTACCAATATTTTCATATCTTCAAAATCATTTTCTTTTTATATATATTTAATTATCAGAATGGGTTTTGTGGAGATTTTAGAAATTTCACAGATTGTAATCATGAGTCAGTTGAAGCTAGACCACCATTGAAAACCTGGAAGCACTGGACGGCCGTTTCATCCTAGTATGGGACTCCTCAGCCGTCCAGTGCTTCCAGGTTTTCAATGGTGGTCTAACTTCAACTGACTCATGATTTCAATCTGTGAAATATATTTAATTGTTTTATTATTATTCATTCTATCCTTATTAGCGATTGAAATAAGCCTCTAGGACTTAATATGAAACAAATTAATAATCAATTTGATTGGTCCTTGAATCAAAAAAAAAAATAATAATAATAATCATGAATCAAATAACCTTGAAAGGACAAATATAAGTCGATAGAATCAAAATCAAAATTGTCATTTGATTGGTTGATTATTATTAATATAACCAAAAGATTATTTCAAGGTTGTTTTTTTATTTCAATGAAATAAATTCCAAAATGTAATTGAACATTATCAGGTAATAAAACAAAATCAAATTTCCACTAAATAGGAGAGTCACTAACATTCATATCGTGTGTGTGTGTGTGTTTCTTGTTGTTTATAAAATCACAAAATACAAATATTAAGAAAGAGAGATTTATACACTATGGATTGATTGATCATTTTTACTCTATAAAAATGACCAGTGGAGTTCAATTAGGTCTGTTATGAGATGGTAATTCACTGAAGACAATGGTAGATGTGTCGCTCAGTTTTGTGAATTAGTTGAAGTTAGACATTAACACAGTTGGATGTTGGCCAGCTCAATAGTCTAGTTGGGTAAGCGTTCGCGTGCGAGACTGATTGGTACTGAGTTCGAATCTCTCAAGGTGGGACCATGGCAGTACAGTGCAGTGCTGCAGGAATCACAATAGAACGAAATGGCCATTCAGTGCTTTCCATAGTTGTCTAGCTTCAAATGACTCATGATCTCAACCACATAACCCCTTTTGATACTAATCATAAATGATTGTCATAGAAAAAATTATAAATCCGTTAAGTATCAGTTTAATCAATTGAATCCAATTGTTTATTTATAATAAAATGTTATTTACTAGTAATATCTAATTGAATAATTGATTGTGATTCATTTTCAATTAGATGTGTCTTATATTTCATTATCAATATAGAAAACAGTTGTGAATGTATGTTTACTAACTCAGTAGGCTTAGAAAATTTCAAAAACTCATGTGAATAATCTATTAAGTGAAGAGGAGTTCAAGATTACTTTAACACAATCACTCTATACATTTGAGTGATATTTTTATCTGTCATCAAAAAAAGAAGCTATTTTTGTAATCATACAACAATTTTAAATCAAGATGAAAGTGTGGTGCGTGCTACTTATATTGATATAAGTAGTATATGACGCGAGTCATGAATGTAATGTCTGACAGCAGAAGATAGAGAAAGCTCAAGAAGGAGAAGAGTGGGAATAGAAATCAATTAGTATAGAAATGCAAGAACAATGAAGTTCAAGACAATTATTGAACATTTTGCAAATTAGATATTATTGTATAGTTTTTCTATTTTACCAAGTAACTGTAATTTTGTGCCAAAATATAATACGGTTGTCCTCAGCTGTGTTCTCCTTTACTACAAAAAGGACTATCATTTAAATAATAATTATGCTTAGAGAATAAAAACAAGTATATTATAACTCATTTATTGTAGATAATGGAAATATATGAGTTTGTATATAACTTAATTATTTAGACAGATGGTAATCACTGGCTTAAATATACTTTAACAAAACTCATTAAAACTTAGCCAATCTAAAAATAATGATTAAGATACAGAAAATTCTTACAGGCTATTAGATAATGGTTGTTATTAACTTGTAATATAAACTAACAAATAGTCTGACATATACTACACTAAATTTTTAAACTATAAGTTTTACATTTTAATGGATTTCTTTTATTGTATAAATGTTAAAATGACTGATCGAAGACACATTCATTGCTCTTGTGGAGCAAAGTACATTGGTCGTAGCCAGTGCTTGCTTTCAACTTGGATACGGGAACATATACCAGCTTGGTTCTATAAAGGTGAAAAGAAAGCAGTTAAGAGTTCTATACTTGAACACCTAATCGACTGTAACCATTCTACAGATTCACAATTTGATTTTAAAGCCGTTTATATGATTCGTCCAAATCTACCCAGATGTCTTCGTATCCAACTTTTAAAAATAGCCGAAGCTCTTACAATCCAAGAGCTTAAACCAGAACTATGCGTACACAAGAAGTATGTCTTATCGTTATCGTTACCTTGGTTTTAATTATTTTTGTTATCCTGTATTCTCCCTTTACTTATGTCTTATATTCTCATAATTTTATTCGTAAATACTCATCATATCATCTTATTTATTTTTACACCTCTATGACCTTTAACTTTTATAACAAAAAAAACAACATTTTAATCATCTTATTATATTCATTAAATATATTGTTATTATTCGTATTACGTAATTATGCGTATCAAGGAAAACCAGGAAGAATTGAACAACTGTTTAGTTCAAGTATCATTTATCTCAGTAGTATGTACTGACAAATTTGCTAGGGGAATGGAACACAGGTCAGTATTTAGTCATTAAAACAAAAAGGTTGGTATCCAATGATACATATTTCTAGCTTAAACCTATTCTTTATATAATACGACGATCATACACCATTGGTTATTATTATTTCATTGGCGTTATATTTGAGCATAACCGATTACGATTTTCCACTAGAATTCCAGGAATTCTAGTAGTAAATCTCTACTGACCAGACTGTCATAGTATTGTGGTCAAAGGTTTTCGCAGAGATTGATTAATTTGTCATGGATGACTTCAAATCAATACAATCTATATAATACTTATCCATCAATATTACATAATATATTCCAGTTTGATGCTCATGTATATTAGGGATATTCCAATTTATAAAAGCATTGTGGGTCATAATCATTAGTTGAAACAAGTGATTGAGCAATTATGTGATATAAATAGGGTTTCTCGTATGATATTCTAAAGGCTTTGGGTGTATTTACTATCCACTAGGTGCTTAATATCCGTACTTGCAACATATCAGCTTTATTTCAGGCATAGGGTTTTGAAGTTACTCTTAAAAGTGTTTGTATGACCCCAAGTCTCATTGCAACGATACTTTTTATCTGTAAATATTTCTTCTATTAATTTACACTACTTAGTCAAGGTACTTAGACGGAATAATGCCTACTCTCTTGTAATGTCCACTTGAGTGGATACTTATCTTCTTAGCCCTCTATAATGAGTTTGAAGGGATAAACTTGATATTATGAGACTTGTTTCATGTTGGTCCCTAGTGACATAATCATTAGGACAATTGGACATCAATCTGATCTCGAAACAAGTGTCATTCTCGTTAAGTTCCATGCACAAAATTAGTATTATCAAGCAGTTTGTCGGTCACAAATGACCGAGACCTCAAGCTATGTTTCAAAGTATCTTTGCCATTTGTTACAACCGACAGCCTGAATTACCATATACAGTAACCCAGATGTTACCTTGTCTATTGGTGTCCACTATTAGAAATATAACTGCGAAGTTAGGAAACCGACCCAGCACTTTAGAACTCATTTAGTATTATTGCCTTTTCGATTAATGTACTTTGCCCCTTGTTTTTAATCTAGACCATTGTATTCGATGGGCGGTGTACGTCGACCAGTGTAGACTAAGTAGTCGATAGCCAAATAGCCATAAAACCCAAGTCGTAGTGTTTTAATTGCGATTTAACCTTACAACCATGTTCACCGAGGCTTGAAATCATGATCCGCGAATTTCAGTCCAATAGCTCTAAGTGACTACACGCAAACTCCATCACAGAGGGCCAGAAACCTTACACGCAAGACCCACGTACGCAAACCCAAAGGTATAGTCGCAGTCTTTTAAGACCCTATCCCTGTTTAGCTCGTGCAATCGTCACACTGCTGTCTGTTGGTACACCAAAGCAGCAAACATACGAAACCCTATGGAGCTTTAGCAGAATTTCGGGCCTCTTAAGGCGTGAGTATTCGACGGAATCTAGGATATTTCGCAAAACTATTGAGGGTTCACCTTTCGTGTTTAAATACATCACACATAGATACTAGTTAAACACAGCCAAAACACCTAACACGCTTACCAGCGATACATCTCTACAGACGATGGAACTAAGTTCTTCTTAACTTCCCGAAACACCAAAACTACATCCGCTTACCAAAATGAACTACCAATTGAGTCGTCGTGCGTAGGTTTAGGAATTCACGCTCATCATCTGGACTATGCAGGTCAGACAAGCAAGTAATAGACTGGTTAAAATGATAATTTATAATGATTAAAACCCAACAAATATGGATAGATTTTAGTTAAAAAGATGTTCCGAAAATTTAACAATGTAATAAAGTATTACAAATGAGTAAATGCATTAGCTAACACTGAATTATGTGTTGTCGAAAAAGGATGTCAGCAAATGTACTGTACAAATACATAGTTCATTTGGGTGAATTTGTGGTTAAACATAAAAGATGAACATGAACATAACATATACAATAGGAATTTGGCCTAAATAAGAACAATGAAGTTTATATCAACTGTCTAATCATCAGCAGTTGATCCGTTTTCAACGTGAGTCTCCACACGATCTTCAACGTGCTTATGCTTAGTTCCACAGTGCTCCGCATTATCCCCATTTTTTCCATCCTGAATGTCATCATGACGCCGCTTGGTGCCGGGACGTCGAGGTCCACTCACGTTGGCAGCCGAAAGGTTAGCTCCGTTGTCTTCCTCTACTTCGTCTTCATCTTCATCATCCACATCGTCGTAATCATCTAATTCGGCTTCCTCATCTTCGCCTATAAGAGAGGACAAAAAAAACGTTGAGTTAGTTAATATGAGTGGGTATCGCAGGAAATTAAGCAGTTAAGAACAATACTTACCTGGAGCATAGTCATCCTCATCATCTTCAAGTTCACCACTTTGTTGAAGGGCTTCAATGCCGATTTCATCGTCACACTCGTCTTCCTCATCAGATCCTTCATCATCCTCTTCATCAGCTTCATCGACACCGTCTGCTACATAAAAATAATTAAAGATGTAAAGTTAGCTTCTAAAATTCTCTTTCGTTGAGGAAATAGATTTTTACTTATCTATTGATTTACTTAGTTAAACAAGAACTAACTGGACATCCATGTGCTCTCATCTAAAAAAACCAGTAACTAACAAAAAGAGCGAAATAGATGAAGGCCAGAAATATTTAATAGAATGTCATCAGCAGTGCAAGCAATTCATGGAATACAATCGAGGAATGTCCGAAAACTATTTTATTCGCTAGATTTTTTAACTTCTGCTACCAACTTCTAATTTAAATACTTCGTTCACACGTCTAATTTGTTGACGAAATCTACTTATAGTCTCATTATACGTTTAGAACCACAAGTTGAAGCTTACAATGTTTGCCATGAAGAGGAATGAAATGTGATCACCCATTTGACTAGTCTCCATTTACCCCTAATGCATCAACGACATTAACAGAGATATGAGTGCAATGTGATGTGAATATTGGAACAAAATTATGCCAACGACAAATTTCTTACGTGAATAAACTGAAAAATGCATTTTTAAACAGCTGCCACTATACTTAGAATATGTTTTCTTAAAATGCGAGTTGTCTAAGGAAGACGACACCAGGACTGTCGCCTGTCAGAACCTTACAAGAAAGCGAGAGTCAAGTCATGGGACTGAGGCGCACCAAAATATGACAACTTCTTTAAGTCTATATCTATATTCACATCCTTAAAATAATATCCTTTACACACACATTTTGGACCTAGTTCATGTCACAGCAACGCAATAAACCACATCTTGGGACTCAGAGAAAAGCTATTTATTCATATTCAAAAAGTAGATTCTATGTAGGCCTCCGAAGTGAGTGTAATAAGACAAAAATAGAGAGACGGAAATGCAGAAGGCCGTGAAGCGAGGACCATTAACGAGAATGTTTCCGAATAACTAATAACGATAGCTATGTTCCAAAAACATCTTTCAAACACAGTAAACCGAATGCATACTGGGATTGACAATTTACAGGACATGAGTTTTAAACGAGACATTTTACTCCTGAAGACATGAATGAGCACATCAATTTAACTACACAAGTCGAGAAACTGAACATAGAGCAACGACTGCTATACGTGTGGGTAACCATGCCAGACGCAAAACCATTCTGAACACTCGCGTTCTTAATTAAACACCTAGTTGCCTGAATCAGTTGATTGACTGAACAGTATGGATCGCTCACGGGCAAAACTTTACAATAAACTGTAGCATACGAACATATCATGACAAAAGGTTTGACTTACCCTCTTCATCAAGACCTCCATTCATAAAGTCGTTCCCGAACACTTCTTCCTCGTTGTTCCTGAATCATGAGTTAAATCTAAGTATATGGACTTACTCATCCAGACCGTCCAAATACTTTAAAGATGGGATCATCGCAAAAGCCTTTTTACGGTAATTCTCCGTAGCGGTGACAGGACAGTTTCCGAGGTCCAGACTCTTGAGTTCGGATAGCTTAGCCAGTGGAATCAATACATCCATTGATTCAATCTTATTACTGCTTAGATTAAGTTGCTCGATGTTGGGACATTTGAGCAGAGCGTCAAGACCACCAGATATCAAATTATTCGACAACTCAAGCTTAGGAATCATAACTTAGTCTAGTGCAACTTACATTTTTTAAGCTGGTAAGACAAGGCAAACCAGCTAAACTTTGAAGACCAACATTCATCATGCTCAAGACCTCTAAGGACGAATATTCATCCGTGAGACCTTCGATATCCACGGATTTCGAGTTGTCCAAATTCAGCTCCGTGATCTAATGCACATTAAAAACTGAGTGCCAACCTACTTCTCCGGGTTCCCGTTTTCCTCGCTCCAACTCAATGCGCTGCAACAAAGTCATGTATGTCATAATTCGAAACAATGAACAAAAACTAGGAGGAATAATGGCCGTCCCAGGAAGCAGTTTTCTGCGCAGACAAACAAAGAGGTGGTACAAACAAAAGATTGTTTAGTACTTTGTGCTGCAGCTTCACATACTTTTTAAATACGAATATTAAAGCATGCAAGTATTTTTCAAGGAATATAACTGTTTTTGATGTACCTCAGAATTAATTGAACATCAATAATTTGGTGTCCTCAGTAGTTGCATTTAGACTTGGGTATGAAAGAGGAGTTTAGCTTCACAGCACCTCAAAAAGCAACTGAGGCTTTAAAACTATATTACTGTCAACTGTCATCTAGAATATTCGTTTACAGTCAGATGAGATTTATTTAAAAATTACTGCGGTTTGAATCAAACAGTATCCCTTGTTAGTGCATTCATGAAGACCTATGGGAAAACAAACTCTTAACAGTGATGAATCTATGAGTTAAAATGGCATTATAGCCTTTGGTACACAAAGATTTGGAGTCTTTAGGACTAACGAAACCTTACCAGAATATGACGGTGGACAAGAATGTTCCCCTTTACTATGTTCTACTACTACCACGCATCAGTCAACCTGGCTTGATAAAAATGAATTCATTGAAAATGGGTGTATGAGAGCCAGGAAACGTAGTTTCAATGAATACAAACAAAACTAATAGCTTTTGTGTCCCAACCAGTGAAGTGAACACCTTAATAAACGATATTGAGCGCCTACTTCCGTCAAAAGTGAGAGAATGGACGGAGAGACATGCTAAGGAAATCCGATAATTATTGACAGTGAATCTCGGAAAATTTTGCGGCCGTGACAATATATGTCGAGCCTTCCTAATGAAATGAGCAGACGTTCTCTGTCATCCATTGAATAACTTAATCTAATACTCAATATATTTGAAGGATTCCTTTGTTACTTGAACATTAGACCCAAGTAGAATACATTTTTATGTACCTGTAATGATGTGTGAGAAAGTACCTCCATGTATATCTTTCTTTTGTTCTTGTTTACATTTTTTGTTTCTTTAGCTTTTGACTATATTGACTCATATTTTATATATTTTTGATTCATTAGGAATTATTATCTCTATATCGTTTGCAATTTCTTAAGTGTGGCCAACGCTTTGATGTTATTAGAGTTTCGACCAATTCTTCCTCGTACTATAGCTTAAAATTTTCGAAAACTTTAGCGGTGGCTACATAGAAAACCAAGCTCTTTGACTGGTACTGCTTGACCTGCTACTAGTTTCTGTCCTAGTTGAAAAGAAACTGTATTGTCCTGATTGTATGCAAGAAATATTGTTTCGAACATTGACTGAATAGAACTAAGTTCTTAGCCAATATAAATGGATGTATCTATGCTACTAGAATAGTAAACCTAATCTAAAATTGTTAAACTATTACAGTGTGACTACCTAATCTGTAAATCACATAGCAGAATCAAATCATTACATATGCTGACTCGTTCTCTCGTAACATCGGGAATGTTTGTAATAGCGTTTGGAAAACACATCTAGGCTGGAGATAGCATAATACATTCGACATGAAGACTACGAAGTTACATAGAGTGACTATAACACCTTGGGTTGATTGGTTAAAAGTTGGCTGCAGACATCTTAGTAACGCCAAAACATAATAGCTGAAATATTCATTTACTCCAGTTGTTTCGCTTCACCATCTAAATAAATACCTATTCCGCCACTAGTCTGGTCTCTTCTATTGATAAAGCGAGAAGTATACAACGACATGAAGTGGATACCCCTACACGGCCGAACGATGCTGGCAATGCCAATGTGACTGCTTGTTCTTGAAACTCTTTGAACCATTTCGACCTTAATCTTTTTCGGATAGAACCTCGATTTTGACTATTAAGAAACCTGTTTTTGACTTGTCCAATTTATATGTAGGAGTTTTTTATTCTGTGGTTTTTCCTTTCAGTGAAAATATCGTTTAGTACAACACGCAATACCATTTTTATGTAGCTTTCCACGTTATCATACAGAAAATATGTCCAACAGCGTTTGCAAAATACTTGAATAGGGATGCACAACTAAGAAATTTTTTGGACAATCCAATTGAATTTATTGTGGCTCCCGTATACAATAACTTAATTTGCGTTCGCGAATTTCCCATGATGTGACTGTCGGATTCGTATAATCGTAATTCAAGACTACATCATTGTCCATGGCATCAATCAGTGCTGTTGTTTGTAAGATTCTTTGAAGAACAGTTTCTGGCCTACTGACAGAATAACATTTTGAATATAAGAAGCATGGCTTTACGGTAACCACTCCTACATTGGAAAGCTAAATATTGTGACGGACGGTTTCCAAAATCTGGTACTGATGCACAGTGTTCTGCACGCTAACCCCCCAGACTGACTACTTCAGTGAGAACACAGAAGTGGGTGATAAAGTGTATTGGACTGCCGAATAAATTGCACAAATACTCATCCATATATATATCACCCTATCCTTAGGAAATCGACCCACCGACTCCAGTGAGATGCGCTTGTCGTTTTAGGTCACTTCTAATTGCCATCGATTGACATTTTCATTAGGCTACTTCTGATTGTTTCTCCATATTATCAAGGAGTCTGCAAAATTGTTCCAGCGTTGACTCCTTTTGACTTTCTTTCTTTTTCATCATGTATTTACACCCCTGTCTGGATCTCCTAAGTTAGTGTTTAATTATTTTGAGAGATGATTTATAATGGTTAATAATAATAGTTGTTATTCGATTGTCATAGAAGATTCATAAGAACTGTTAAAAATTCAATTTTACTGAGACAACATACACACAACAACAGTTTTAAGCATAACGCCCGAAAATGCCAAACTATGTTCTTTTGAAACTCGGAAAGAAAGGGGATATCTATTTCCTCCGGGTCTCTTCAGAAGGTCGACGTGGTGTCTTTAGTGCTTGAACAGGATTTTGGTTCACTTGTTATCCGAGCAGTAAGTCACGGATGGATCAATTTTAATTATTTCACTAACGAACTAGGTAAAGATTCTAACGTGATATAATAATAATAATAATAATAATAATAATAATAATAATAATAATAATAATTTATTCTTAAATAACAGTTTGTTACATGAGGCATGCCAGTTTACAGGCAAGATCAAATTGGTACAAATGATACAGTATCCACTGTAGTAAATTAAATAGCTAGGTTGATAATTTATAAGATATGAATGTATATGGTTTTAATCAGTACCACAGTTGGCGCGCTTCATGAAAGTCGCGTTGCGAATGTACATCTGATGGTCAAGGATAGGTCCATTGAAGGTAGGATCTTCTAAATGTCGCAACCTTATGTCCCTCTGGAATGTCTAAGGCTTCGAGGATGGTGCAGGATGAAATCTTTCGTACCATATCACATGGGGACTGAAAGAGGGAGCAAGTAAAAGAAAGGACGAGAGGCAGAGTAGCCAATATTCATGAAGGAATGTTTAAGGTATGATTACTCAGCCTAATTTTCTTTTATTAAGGTATTTGTTGAGAAAGAGCATTTTAACAGGTCAAAGAAAATAAGTGTTAACAAGGTATGAGTGTACATACAACAGACAAATATAGGCGATTCAGAAAGGAACTGAGTGTATGGGATTATGTGTGGTTATAGAATAAAATATAGTGCTAGAAACATTATTGTGATATACAGTTGGCTATCTTCCTTTTTATCGAAGCTTTTAGATCCCCTTTCATTTTTTTGTACTATTTTTTTCAGGTATCATAGGGTCTTGAGTAGGCTTCATATATAAGCGAATTGTCTAGTTTGCTTGTAATAGGAATACTGGGTAGGAAGTTAAACCAATTCAACATTCGTAACACGATTTAATGAGGTATGTTGCATGACAAATCTGCATTAAAACCTTAGGTTCGTGACATCTCACTAAACCATAAGGAGCCGTAATGAAACAAAATGTTCTGCCCTACAGACATGGGTGGATTAAAGTTAACTCTCCACCATCGCCACCCTCCCTCAATTTGTGATGTTAGGCTCTCTAACGTTTGTGGTAAGTATGAATACTGCTTTAATCAAAGCCAATAGTTGGAATACACTGTCTCTACTAGGTCCATGTTACAAGCGAATCAGATAGTTAAAAAGTCTATTTTATGGGTTAGATGTCCACACAGTATATCACACTTCTATGAAAATAACTAATGGTTTAAAGAAGTAAGGACTAATAGCAAATCAAAAGATATGAGAGGGTATAAAATTGTAGAAAAAAAAGATTTCAGGGTAAGACAAATAAAACATTGGGAAACTCAAAAGACTTTGTGGCCAAATTTTGAGCTTTGTATGATCGGCCTCAGTAGATCAGCATCCATAAGATTAGTGAGTTATCTGTCTAATTTAACCTGTAGAGAGTTTTGGGAACTGAAAGTGTGGGTTAGGAGCATAAGGCCATGATTAATAAACAATGAATAATAGGAAAGGATGGGCCATATATTCTGTGATTTGGTCATATTCATATTAGTAACAGTCGAAATTGTTATAATCTTGTTCTTTCTAGATACTAGGCGGTCCGTAATAAAGTGCCTCATTGGTGGGCGGGATTTCAAGGAAATGTTGAAGCTCTTTGGAATCTAGAAATAGTGTTATTAGCTTTTTGAATCTGGTAAACGTATCACAGTTACGGATAGGCATTGGCAGCCTGTTCCACAATAAACTGTACCGTACTGTAAAAAACTTACAACGCATTTATTTTTGGTGTTTTACGGTAAGCAGTGTATATGCGTTGTTTCTAAGTCTATAGGCTGGTTCGTGGGTCATAGTCGGACAGGATGTTCAAAAGGAGAGCCCATATATCGCTTTGTAGAGAAATATTAAATTGTTCTTTAACCTACGGTGCCATAAAGGTTCTAAAGAAAGGTGCTTACATCTATCTGTGTAATCGAGATGAAAGTTCTTAAATTCGGTTTTTGAACTCTTTACATTTGGAACTGTATTTGAGCGTTTATTTAGGATTGAATTTTGCATTTTTATCATCTATTTCTCCTGATTAATTTTGTTGTAATTTGAATTACAGTTGACATAACTGTATAGGACTATGATGTGCTATAGAAGCGACGGGTGGGAGGTTCAAAGCGAACAAATAATTAAAATGCTAGCTTCCCAGAACTGTTCTTCAACTGTTGGATTCTAGCGAGG